TCGTCCCTTATTCATTTCATATTACATTTTGAGGCAAATTGTGCTAAACATGGTAAGAAATTGCATTTTCATCCCAAACCAACTTGAAACTTTTTTGACTTAGTCTTCTGAATAAAAGTGCCTTAGCTCTTGGACCAAAATCATCAACACAAGCATAATTTGCATATGTCTTTGTTTTAAATGCTCCTGTTGTAAATTAATTCCTATCCATCAACTAGTCTGTCCAAATACCAACCTACTCTGAGGTTCTCCCAACATTGCATCTCTAAGATGATAAAGCTTTGGCTATATATGCACTGAAATTTGTGGTACTCTTTTTCTGGAGTGGGATCATTCAATTCACGGGGCATAAACAGACTTGGGTCATACAACTTATTTTTTGGTTTGCAGATTGCAAGGAAAACAACTCCAAGGAATACATTTGGTTGGGTGAGGGCTGAGGTGATGGGAGCAATGATAAATGCAGTGTTCTTGGTTGCCTTGTGCTTTACCATCATGGTAGAGTCCCTCAAAAGACTTCTTGAAATTGAGAAAATTGACAACCCAAAATTGATTCTGGTAGTTGGTACTGCAGGCTTAGTGGTCAACCTTATTGGCCTGGCTCTTTTTCGTGAACAGGGTATGTCTCTTCAATTCATGTATTCGTAATATTAGTTTCATTTTTAGCTATAGACAGGGTTTATAGATTTATTAATAGTATATTGACAGAAATATGCATTTAATTTAGTCTGGTTTTCAAATGGAATTCTGGTATTTGTTCTGATGTCATCACCTCCAGTATTTTAACATTTTGATCTTGATTGATGAGAAAAATTGGAAATTTTCCAGGAAGCAAACCCAGCAAGAAAAGTCAGAGTGGCAGTAGTAAACATGGCCATAGTGACAATGGAAGTGAACATGGTAATCTTGAAGGCCATTCTGTCAAAGTAGAGCTCAGTGGAGTTTCTAGCAATGAACCTATTACCAGTATAGTGACTTTGGATGGTGTCCATGGTGATGGACAAAAAGAAAAGGATGAAAATCCCAAGATGGGTAAGTATTGATATAAAGTGTCCTAATTTAATCTCAGATGAAAGCATTCAGTTGGGTTGTAATTAATTTCAGAGCAAGTGAAATAAACTTTATCAAAGTATTATTATAAGCCTACAGTGAGCTTAGAGAAGATATATCACTATGACAGATGACCCTGGTGTATTGTGCTTTCCACCTGAGTGTATTGCTTTATCTTGTATTATTATCCAACTCTTTTAATGCCTGGAAACTCAACCTCATTCTAATGGCAATTTGTACATGTTTTTGTTCTCAGTTTCCAGTGCCCAGCTGAATATGCGAGCTGTGTTCCTCCATGTAATGGGTGATGCATTAGGTTCTGTCATTGTAATAGTCAGTGCACTGATTATATGGTTCGCAGAAGGTGATTGGAGATATTATGTAGATCCAGCAATGAGTTTGGCTATGGTGACCATCATCTTGAGTACCACTATGCCATTATGTGAGTATATAAAAGTGTATACTGTTGATAATTCTTTCAGATAATTTTTCAATCGGCAATGTAGTTTGGGGAAAAGCCTTTATATAATTATGCATTGAGAAAGACGTCATAAAGTTTGTGCGGTGGTAAGGGAACACATTTAATTCAAGGCTTTCAATTCCAATTTCAAATCCAAATTGCACCAACCAACCCAAATTTATGTTACAAGCAGCTTTCAAATAAAGCCTGCTCTAATTGCACAATGTATACAGATGTGTATCTGAACCAAGAGAGTTTAGTTTTTGAAAACGCCTCAACAAAAGTGAATTATTATCAAAACAAGTAAAATCAGTTCCCTTACAGTGTTTTAGGTATTAGGTACATTTCATCCTTACGATTTTAACAACTTTGATTTTCCGATTTTCCCAGTGAAGGAGTCTACTTTGATATTACTCCAGACACCACCAACCCATCTCAAAGTGGATG